CGGTGAATAACTTGAGGCCAGGAGTTTGAGACCAGCCTGGCCAACATGGTGAAACCCTGTCTTTACTAAAAATACAAAACGTACCCCTGTCTGGTGGTGCACACTTATAATACCAGCTACTCAGGAGGCTGAGGCATGAGGATCATTTGAACCCAGGAGGTGGAGGTTGCAGTGAGCTGAGATTGCACCACCACACTTCAGCCTCTGTCTCAAAAACAAAAATAGACTATTAACATTTTTTAGTTGTGAGAAGATATAAAAATTTCCATCTTAACCATTTTACGTATATAGTTCAGTCACGTCAAAGTACATTCACATTGTCATGCAACCGTCACCACCATCCATCTTCAGAACCCTTTTCATCTTGCACAGTCTAAACCCTTTGCTCATTAAATAGCTCCCTATTCCCTTCTTCCCCGCAGCCTCTGGCAGTCACCATCCTACTTTTTGTCTCTATGAATTTGACTGCTCTGAGTACCTCATATGACTGGTATCAGACAGTATTTGTCTTTTTGTGACTGGCTCAAGAGAAACACATTTTAGATGACTGGTTGGAATTAGGAGCAGGTGGAACCATAACTGGCCCAGGCCTCTCATCTTTTTCTCCTTTTTCCCTGTTCCACAAATACAACAGCTGTGGACACGTGGTCTCATCTCTGCGGTCCCTAACACAGTGGTTATCAACCTTGTTTACACATTAGAATCCCCTGGGAAAGTTTTCAAACTACTCTTGCCTGTACCAGATTCCAGGCTAATTATGTCAGAATCTCAGAGAGTGAGGGCTTACGTATGCATCGTTTACAAAACACCCTAGGCATCTCAAATTTGCAGTGGAAATTGCTGTCCACAGCAAGTTGATGAGCTGAAATGTGGAATAACAGTGGGTAAATCAAAAGAGTTTAAAGCAGATGGTCTTTAAGGTCTTTTTATATTGCAAAATGTGCAAAGTCATGTAGTATCTTTCTAATTCTCAACCAGCAGTGGTTGAGTGGATTCACCTACACCCGAGGGGAGCTGGGAGGACAGTCTCTGGAGTGTTGCTCCCCCTGCAGTTCAGTTATATGTTACGACCACCCCACTTTAGAACCCTCTTAGTCACCCATGCAGGCGCTGGACATTGTCATTCCCCTGTCACATGCAGTCAACAAATACTTACTAAGATGGCTCACCTTTCCTTTAAAAACACGCAGGCCAAGAGATAATGATAATTGTGTTCATTCCATTGACTTCTAAAGACCGTGAGATTTCTAAATAATTTTAAGGCCGAATGAAGGACATTGCAGGAATATTGATTCCAGCTCCGTACAAGAAATAGTTTTCTGCAGTGAGAGTGGTTTAATAGAATGAGGAGCCTTGTGAAAGTGATTCCTTTGGTTCTAGTGCTACACACTTGTATTTGGAATATTGACTTTAATGGATGCCGGAGGATAAGATTCCCAAAGTAGAAGAAACTAGACTGACTTATGAGGCCCTTCTAACTCCAAAATGCCATGAGTTTAAAGCCAGATAGTAGAAGAACGATGTAAGATGCAGGAATGGCTTCTGAACTGAGAAATGAAGCAGCTCCAGAGTTCTGATTATTTCAGCTTTCAACCACTTCCCAAAGACTGAGTTATTAACTGTAAAATAGCCAAAAATGAACACAAGTGGGTCTTGTTATCAAGAAAATTTATTATAGTACATAAGAATCAGAACTTCTAAAGAAGATTAATTAGGGAGTTGATTATTTGCATTGCAGAATAATTCCTGACTTCATGAAATCATTTTTGGATACTAGAGTTCCTGTGAGCATTTTAGTATTGATTTATAGGTCACCAGTCACTTAGCCAAAGTGCTTGGGAGAGTAAAATCTTAACCCTAAAGAGCTAATCACCACTCTTTAGTGCTTATTTGGAAATAATAAACATCTGATATGTTTATATTTCCTTATTGTCATTAGAAAAACAATATAATTTCACTACAGGTGTTTAGACATGCCATCAGAAAACACAAAACATCCAAAAATTCAATGCAGAAATAACTACAATTTGAGTACTATAATATGTCAAAAATATCGTTGCGTTTAATCCTCAAATAATCCTTGTAAAGCAATATTATTATCTCAGCTTGGTCAAGTAATTTATTCAGGAGCAACAAATTACGTACAACCCAAATCTTTCTGATTCTTTCCCTTACACCAAGTTACCCCAATCAACATCACTTAGAACAAACTTGCTCACAAACAGCTTGGAGACCATGTGTGTTTGGGTTAATTTTTGCCCTTAATATATTTTCAGTATGTGTTGCCAGTGTTTAAATGTTAGATTTCACATAAAAGCCTGGATGTCCTGGCTGTCTCAAAGAATCAGAAGGTCTGGAAGCCCAGTCCCTGCAGTCCTGATGGTGACAGGCTGGGTGGGTCCTACCTCAGCAGGGGCTTGAGTTCTGTAGATTGTGCTGGTTCCCACCCGTCTGTGTTGCATTCCCCAAAGGAAAGCGAGTGTCATCGGGGATTTTTCCCCTCCCATCCAGCCCTCATTGCTTACGTTGTTATCTACCTGACACCTGTTGTCACTGCATTTGCAACCCCAAATAAAATCTCTCTTCCACTTCCCTTGCCCAAATTCAGATTCCAAATACTCTGGTTCTGTATGTCTGAAACTCATTTTTGCATTGTTTTCATTTCCCAAAGTAGTTGGGCTTAAGGAAAATTCATCTTAGAATTCTTCTGCCCAGAAGTAGTTCTATGACATTGTTTCCTCACCTGTTGGGGAGTTTTTGCCTGTGCACTTAATAGCCCGTCTTGTTTTCATTTCTTCCTGCTCCTGGAGGGCCAGGTTTGGTGTTGCTGGTGATGGTGGAGGAGGAAGAAATGACTTCAAGTTATCTCTGGGATGACCAATGAGCTATGACCAGCAAGCTGGGACCACTGACCTGGTGGAGTGGCCTTAGTGAGTAATAGACAGCAGTGATGTGTCAGCTTTCTTCTGGTGCAGGAACAACCAAATCTCTTATATTTCAGTGGCCTGGTTCCCAATAGACCCTGCAGGCCCTACAGGTCATCTTCCCAAGCTGTCCCTTGCTTCACACCACCACCTTCCACTCCATAATATTATAGAAGGACACCTAGTCAGACAAAATGATACAACTTAATTTTATTAGGTCAAGGCTGGTGGGCACTGAAGTGGCACCTTCTGGGGCCAGGAGAGGCACTGGGAAGAGTTGCAGGATGCCACACGGGCACCTAGAAGCCACAGCTGCCCTCCACAGAGCGGCACTGCGCCATGCGCAGGAATGTCTCGACCTTGTCCATGTTCCTCCTGAAGCAGTGGAGCAGCCTGTAGTTCTCAAGCAGTGCATCATTGTTGTGTCAGTTTGTGTCAAACTTGATGTAGGTCGCTTGAAGACCTGCCCAGTCCGGGGGCTGCCATCTTCCAGCCTCTGCAAAGTGAAGGAAAAGAAGGAGAGGTCAAGTGCTTGGTCACTGTTCCCTCCCTGTCTCATTCATTCATTTTCCTCCCTTCCCTTCAGGGTGTAGAGAAAGGCCTGGAGGATTCACCAGGGAAATGAAGACTAAGGTGAGTTCTCTTGGGTCAGGGCCTGACTGCTAAAAAGAGGGCAGCAGTGTTTCTCTCTCCCAGCCCTCGAAGCCAGTGGCGTTCCAGGGTTGGGGACCCCTGGCACCACTGTCACCCCCATCAGCGTTTGGATGCCTTCCTCTAGGCTTTTTAGGAGGTCATAGACATCGCTGTCCGAGGTGCCACACACCAGCCTGTTGGCAAACACACTCCTGAGGAACTGCACGGGCTCCAGCCAGGACTGGATGAGCAGCAGGGAGATGCGGAGCAGCTCTAGGTTCTGCAGGGGAAGGACCGGCAGTGGCTGTGCTGCCCGGGGCCTCTGACCACAGGTCTCCTGCATCCCTGCCTTGCGGAGAAGGCATCCACTCACGGATTTCTGCTGCCTTTCCTCCATGTTGGAGGGTGTCGGAATAGACTCTGAGGAACAGAGGGAGGTCTGGGGGTTCTGCAGGAATGAATACTTCTGTTCCTTTGGGATATAGGCTTCTTCCTGGGAGAAGGAACCCCCCCACCCCACCAACCAAGAAGGATCCCCGGTTTCTATGCTGGAGACCAGCTCCCATTGTTACTTTTCTGGGAACCTCACTCAGCATATGGTCATCTGCCTGCGTTTTCGCTTCAGAAAAGAATCCTGAGCTCCTTAGTCTCCTCCCATTACTTCCCAGCGGGGGTAAGTCACCCCTTCTTGCCACCCATGTCGCGCCCCCATTCCCCAGGAGCTTACAAACTTCTGGTAGGTGTCAAAGGCCAGCTGGTGCAGGCGATGGGCGTGGAGCATAGCGTTGTCAAAAAACCTGGGTAAGGGAACGGATTGGACGGCACCGGCCTCTTGAAGCCATGGCAGGCAGAGCAGGGCAAAAGCCAGGATCTGGGAGGTCCGGGAGCCTGGGGAGAGACCGGAGGGCAACGGAGGGAGCCGAAGAGCAAGAGGCTAGCACTCTCCCTGCCCCCGAAATTTTTTTTTTCTCTCTCCCCATCCCTTCAGGAATCAGGAACATTCTGAGATTGGCCAAAAATCTGGGCTTAGATGGCGATACTCACATTCAGAAACCCCAAACCTGAGGATTAGTGTCTCTGTGCCATCTACAGGGGCCGCCTCTTCCTTCGGGACACATCGTGCAGAAATGGATTTTAGGGGCGCTTACCTGCAGCCATTGCAGCTAGGTGGGCTGTCCACAGGACCCTGAGTGGTTCGGGGAGTTGGGCCTTGGGATCCTGGAGCTGGTCTCTTGTGGGCCCTTTTTATACCCTGGCCCCTTATTTCTCGCTGCTTGACCCCACTTGTTTCTCTGTACGTCACTTGACGTGCCTGTGCTAATGGATAATTTAGAAGTTCCTCCCACACATGCTGGGATCATGCCCCCTGGCTTGTCATCTTTCTCTTCCCATCGTCACCAGCATTGTGAGGGTTGTGCCCAGAGTGTCAGCCAGAGATACCACTCAACCTGTCCTCTCTTTAAGGGTCAGGTGGGTGCCCTCTGGCAGCACGCCATGGTGGAAAACCTGAATGTGGGGAAGGATGTCAGGATAGTCAGTCCTCAAGACCCCTACAGACCCCATCCCACCCTCTATCCTATCCCTTTCCTCCTCCCCACATGTTTCCCCTCCACCCTAGCAGAGAGAATGTACATTTTGGGAAAAGGAGCCAAACATATCCAATAAATTGTGGGGGTTCTGGGCACGATTCAGTCTTGAATTCCACTTTTGCTGATTCCTCCCGGGCCCGCCTGAGGCAGCTGGATGCAGTGCTAATACTGACCACTAGAGGGAACCAACCCCACACTTTGCTCTCCCCTTTCCCTGAGCCTTGGGGTGGGGGTGGGGGCTCCCCCAGGTCCCTGGGGAGGAAGAACCCAGACTCAAGGTATTGCCCCAGCTCCTTGGACCTGCAGCAGAGATACAAGCCAAGAAACAGAAATTCCGGGGACAGACACGGACCACAAGTGCTTCCTCCCCTAGCCCTGAAATCATCAGAGAATCTCAAAGTTAGAAGAGTTCTTGAAGGTTTAAGTGTCTTTCCCGGTTTTGGAACTCAGAACACATCAGGCAGAAAGATGCCCTATGCAGCCGTGGAAGCCCCTCCTCTCTTTTCTCCCCCTCCTTTCCAGATCTGTATAGAGCTTATCCAGTTGCCAAGGGCCTGCCTATGCATTCTCACGTCTGACCTGCCACTTGTCTTGTGTAGTAGGTATAATTATCATCCCGTTTCACAGATCAGGAGACTGAGGCTGAGAGAGACTGATTGCATGAGGTACCTCAGCCAGGGCAGCAGATCTCCACAACCTTGCTCTTCCCACATAGTGTCATTCAAAGTCCTTTCTCCAGGCCGGGCACGGTGGCTCATGCCTGTAATCCCAGCACTTTGGGAGGCTGAGGTGTGTGGATCACTTGAGGTCAGGAGTTCAAGGACAGACTAGCCAACATGGCAATACTCCCTCTCTACTAAAAATACAAAAGTAGCTGGGCATGGTGGCACAAGCCTTTAATCCCAGTTACTCGGGAGGGTGAGGTGGTAGAATCACTTGAACCCAGGAGGCAGAGGTTGCCGTGAGCCAAGATCGGGCCACTGCACTCCAGCTTTGGGGACAGAAGGAGACTCCCTCTCAAAAAAAAAAAAAAGTCCTTTTTCCAGAGCAGGTAGTGTGGTGCTACTCAGTTACATAGTTATTTTAGTTTCTTTCTTTTCTTTCCTCCCTTCCTTCCTTTCTCTCTCTCTTTCTTTCTTTCTTTCTTTCTTTCTTTCTTTCTTTCTTTCTTTCTTTCTTTCTTTCTTTCTTTCTTTCTTTCTTTCTTTCTTTCTTTCTTTCT